CAAGGACAGAGCTGCAGGGATTTGGCCTGGGCTCAGCTCCCCGGGGAGCAGACAGAGCTCCAGCCTGGGTGTGACAGCGTCCCCTGGCACCAGGAGCCAAGACCAGGCTGGGAATGGAAAGCAGCACCAGGTCCCAGGGAGATGGCACAGCCCCGAGGCTGCCACAGCCCCATTCCACTGCTAATGATCTCCTGATCTTCATTAAACCAGGGAGGGAGGGAGACCCCACGGGCACAGCGTGGGCTGGCACAGCTCCAGAGGGGCTGGGGAGGAGATGGGAGCGGGTCCGTGCCAGGGGGAGCACCAGGACAGTGCCAGGAAGCAAGGAGGGGACAGGATGGGTCCCACCAGGCCAGCAAGGGACAAGTGCCTGGTGTGGGGCTGCTGGCAGGGATTTGGGACCATCCTTGGCTCTGAGGGAGCCTCTCATCCCTGCAACACACTGAGCACACGGGCAGCACCCATCACTGGGCAGGATGGGCCCCTCTGGGTCAGCCCTCTCCTTCTCCCAGCCTCCTGCCCATGCTGGGGCTCCTTCTCCACTCTCTCTGCTTCCATGGCATTCCCCCAGCCCAAGGAATTCCCTGTTCCTTCCCTGAGGAGCTCCTCCATCCCCACGCGGAGCAGAGAAGCCCTGGTGGCCCCAGGGAGCTGGGCTGGCCAAGTTTGGCAGCCAAAGGAGAGGGTTAGGGCCCTGTGCTGGGTGAGAGGGAGGGAGGGGAGCCCCAGGCGCTACAGCCCCCCCCAGAGCTCCCCCAGCAGCAGGTGCCCCACAGCTGGGCAGGAAGGGGAACCAGAACAGGGAAGTGCAGCACGGAAGGGCTTTGGGGAAGTCAGAGCTGAACTAATTCTGCACAGGGAACAACTCCCCCAGACGAGTTCCCTGTCAGAAGCAAGTGCAAGGCACTGCAGGAAGAGCAGATCAGGAATCCTGACTCCTGCTGCACCCTCACACACAGACCCCAAACCCTGGGGTTCAGCCCTGGAGCTCCCTGCCTGCACCTTCAACCTGTTCCACGCCCATGGGAGACCTCTGGGGCAGGGACAAATGGAAATGGTTCTGCAGAGAGGGAGGGAACAGGGAATGGCCACTAAGGGCTTTAGCCAGCCCAGGACACCTTGGACCTTCTTCCTGCCATCAGCTTCACCCTCACCCTGCAAATCAGGAAATTTTGGGTTCCCAGGCAGGGAGATCCAGGGCCCAGCCCTGCAGGTGTTCCCTCCTGTCCCCTCAGTGTCCCCTCCCTTGCTGCTCACCCTGGGCCAAGGGAAAGGTCCCCAAGTCCTCTGGAGAGGGACTGGGGACAAGGGCTGGAGGGATAGGGCACAGGGGATGGATCCCACTACCAGAGGGCAGGGCTGGATGGGATATTGGGAATTGGGAATTGTTCCCTGGCAGGGTGAGCTGGGGCTGGACTGAAATTCCCAGAGCATTCCCAGCTGTGGCTGCCCCTGGATCCCTGGCAGTGCCCAAGGCCAGGCTGGACACTGGGGCTGGAGCAGCCTGGGACAGTGGGAGGTGTCCCTGCCATGGCAGGGGTGGCACTGGGTGACTTTTACAGCCCCTTCCAACCCAAAGCACTCCAGGGTTCTCAGCTGATGGGCTGGGTGTGCAGGGGACAGTCCCTGGCTCGCTGCCACCCCACAGGATGAGCCCCACAGGGGCCTCCAAGGGCATTTCCGTGGATGTTGGGAAGCACAACCAACACCTGCCTTGTGAATTCCCAAAAATCCCTCTTTACCTGGGCTGGAGCCTGGCTTTGCACAGCACAGGGAGCTGCAGGACCAGCTCAGGGGAGGGAGGTGAGGACCAGGAGATCCTGCCCAAGGCTCTCTGGATGCCCAAAGGCTCCATGCAAAGGGGGAAATGATGCTCAGAGCTTGCTTTGCCTGCCAAGCCCGATCCCCGGAGCTGCCTGAGCGTGGGACAAACCCTGGGACGCCCAAAAAGGCCATGAGAGCTCTCAGGCTGCTCTTGTGCAACTCCAGGAGTTGCTTTTCCCCTGGCAAAGCACCGGAACGGCCCAGGCTGAGCAGCTCGTAAACACCCCGGCCCCCCTTCCCGGGGAAGAGTCCAAGCTTGACGGAACATTTTCCAGCAGCCGAAAACAAGGATAACAATTATCACTGCTCGAGTTCCTGTGCAATAAAAACCTGCAGGGAAAACGAGAGCAAGGTCAGCACGCTGACAAGGGATGCTTTGCTGGATCAGGCTCCCCCTGCCCTGGCAGAGGGCAGGGCTCAGCCCCACAACCTTGTTATCTCTTCAGCACAGCCCTGCCTGGGCCCTGCAGGGCCAGCCCCAGGGTGGGAGCCTCTGTTTGTTTTGCTCTTTCTAATCTGGGACTCGAAGTTTCCTCCTGAACAAAGTTGTTTCCAGACATTGGAGCTGGCTGGGAGCTCCCAAAGAGTCAGAATCCCCTAAGCTCCCTATGATCCTTCTCCCACCCAGCTGGGCAAGCTCCAGCCCCTGGCATTCTCCTCCAAAACTCAGTGTGGCCCCTCCAGGCTGCAGAGGGGCACAGGGTGAGAGCTTCCCTCATGTTTTCCGTGCTCATTTCCATCCTCAGGGCCACGGGTGAAAACAGAGTTTTAAAACCTTCTGTGATCCTGAATGCCTCAAAGGGAAGTGAATTTTCCTTATGCAAGCAAAGCTACAGGAAGGGAGGGAAACAGCAAATCAGAGATTCGTGGAATGGGTTGGGCTCCAAGGGACCTCAAAGCTCATCCCAGTCCATCCCTTCCCCTGTCCCAGGTGGATCCAAGCCCCAATATCCAGCCTGGCCTTGGGCACTGCCAGGGATCCAGGGGCAGCCACAGCAAATCTGGCAATTCCAGCCCAGCCCCTGCCCACCCTCCCAGACAGCAATCCCTTACCAAGATCCCAGCCCAATCTCCCCTTTCCCAGTGGGAGCCATTCCCTGGCTCCTGTCCCTCCATCCCTTGTCCCCAGTCCCTCTCCAGCTCTCCTGGAGCCCCTTCAGGGACTCTGAGGATTCCCTGGATTTTTCCCTTCTCCAGGGAACATTCCCAGCTCTGCCAGCCTGTCCCCAGAGCAGAGGGGCTCCAGAACCCTGGAATGGTTTGGGTTGGGAGGGACCTTTTTCTCTCCAGGCCCTGGAAGGTTCTGGAAGGTCTCCCTGGAGCCTTCTCCAGGCCCCTGGGGCTCTGCAGCCTGCAGGGTTGGTGTCACGGGGTGACACAGGCTGGACATTGCTCCCGTGGGATTAACAGCCCCTGACGGGACCTTTGGGACTCCAGGATCCAAGAGCAGGCCCTGGCCAGGAGCAGCCCTCGGGGGGCTCCACAAAAACCTCCCACAGGGCAGGGCTGTCCCCAACCACGGGGTTTTCCCACATCCCCGGTTCCAGCAGGCCCCAGGAATGCCGGCCCAGCCCCTGAGCCCGCCCAGCTCCGGCGTTTTGCTAAGAAAAGCAGAATAAAGCAGGATAAGCGCGGGGGAGCTGCCAGCCGTGTCCCCGGGGCTCCTCACGCCTCTCCCGGCCCACGCTCCCCTCTGGGCCCGCCGGGAGCCTCGGGGCTGGGGAAATGCGTTTGCTCCACAGGGAAAGTTCCCCCAGCCCGTTCTGCTGTTCTGCTGCTGATTTTTGTGGCTGTGAGGGGAGGGAAGGAGGGAGGGAAGGAGGCTCCCTGCGAGGCCGCAGCTCCGGGCAGCGATCCAGCACAGCTGCTGGGTTCGGGGGGCCAGGGGGGCACTGCCAGCCCTGCCCCAACAACGCCCCCAAAACTCCTTCCCTGCAGGAATCCCAGCCCCATTCCTGCCCCTCTGTGCTGGAAAACAGTCTGGTTGTTGTCAACCCTTCTGGGCAGGGAGGAGGAGCAGCAATGCCCCCCGTGCACAGGGGTTGTGCTGGGGCAGCACGGGGTTGGGGTCTGCGCCCCAAACTGGGGAGCCTCCATCACAAACGGGGGGGCTGCAAAGCCACCGCAGCCACCAGGGGACACCTGGTGGGACAAACCACGAGGGGACAAACCGCGAGGTGCAGGAGGGACAGAGCCCTGGGGATGCAGAGGGACTGCGGGCCATGCTGTGCCCACCCGGGGGATGGAGGCTCCGGTGCCCTGCCCAGCACGATTCCCTCCCAGGGGGATGCAGGGACCGCAAGCCATGCTGTCCCTGCCCGAGGGATGGATGCTGTGCCCTGTCCAGCACGATTCCCTCCCGGGGGATGCAGGGACCACCGTCCCACATCCCCTTCCTGGCACAGCCGGGATGTTCCACCCCTCCCGCATGTCCTTCCCGGGCATCCCCAGGCCCTGCCATGCCCCGAGTCCTTCCGGGGGGGTGACACAGCCAGCCCGGCCTGGGGACCCCTCCCCAGGGCCACTCTCCTGCGGCGGGCACAGCCATGGATGGAGCCGGAGCCCCGCAAAGCCCAGACGGGCACGCCCGGATGAGCCACACCCCAACCCTCGTGGCACGTCCCGAGGGTGCCCATGGAAGCTGTGATGCCCTTCTTCCTCCAGCAGCCGTCCTGGGGACCCAGGGACCATGCGCTGCCCACCCTGGGGCACAGTGACAGCCATGCCAGGCACTGGGGGGGTCCATGTGCCCACTCCGGGGCACACAGTGACACAGTGACAGCCATGTCAGGGCACTGGGGGATTCCATGTGCCAACCCTAGGGCACACAGTGACACAGTGACAGCCATGGCAGGACACTGGGAGGGTCCATGTGCCCACTCTGGGGCACACAGACACAGTGACAGCCGTGGCAGGGCATTGGGGGATTCCGTGTCCCCCTCCAGGCATACCCAGGCACGCCGTGACACCACCGTGGGACACATGAGGATCCCAGGACACCAGTCCCCGGGCACACGGGGGGTCCATGTGCCCACCTTGGGGCACAGTGACAGCCATGGCAGGGTACTGGGGGGGTCCATGTGCCCAGCCTGGGACCCCGTGCTGCCCACTCGGGGGCACTCAGTGCAGCCCCGGCCCCAGCCCCGGCCCCGCTCCCGCGGACGCCCCGCACTCACCGCTCGTCGGGCCCGCGGCCGCGCTGCCGGGCGGGCTCCAGGGGCACCAGGGCCTGGCCCAGGAACCGGTCCATGCCCACGAGCGCCCGGTGCATCACCGTGAGCACCAGCTCGGCGCAGGCCCCGGGCTCGGGGGGCAGCTCGAAGGCACATTCCTCCCTCCACTCGGGGCTGCCGCCGCTCTTCTCGGCCACCGAGGTGCTGTACTTCTCGCGGCCCAGCTGGATCACGGTGTACGCGTCGCTGCCGCCCGCTTTGCCTTTGCCGCCGCCCTTGCAGCGCAGCCCGCGGGCCCGCACCACCGTCACCTGGACGTGCGTGGGCAGCCAGGCCGGGCAGCCCTCGGCGGGCAGCGCGGCCGCCCGCAGCAGCGCCATGGCCGGGCCGGGCCGGGCGGGGCGGGGCCGGGAGAAGCGGCCGGGCCGGGCCGGGCCCCGCTCCGGAGCCGCCGCTGCCGCAGCGCGAGCGACACCGGCGGGCCGGCCCCGCCCGCAACGGCGCAGGCCACGCCCCCAGGCGCTCTGACCACGCCCACAACGCCCTCTGCCTCCGCCCCCCTCAAATTTAGCTCCGCCCCAAACGGCCACGCCGCGCGCTGGCCCGCCCCTGGCCCTTAACCACGCCCCACGGCAGCCCTTGCCCCGCCCCACCCGCGTTGACTCCGCCCCCAACCGCTTTGCCCCGCCCCGCCCCGCCTGGCTGTTGGAGAGGGCGGGGCTCGGGGCGCGCGCAGGGGGCGGGGCCGAGGGCGGGGCCGGGGTGACGCCCAGCCCTGGTGCAGCCACACCCCTGCGGCCACACCCGGGGCGGTGACTCCCCTACTGTCACACCCCTGCGGCCACGTCCCCTGCGGCCACACCCCTACGGTCACTCCCCTACTGTCACACCCGGGGCACACACATCGCCAGGGCCCGGGGCATCCCTGGCACCGCATCCCGGGCACGGCTCTGCCTGTCTATGTCCCAGACCCACATGAATGAGAGCACAGGTGTGTGTCCCTGTGCACGTGTGTCCCTGCCCAGAAGTGTCCCTGCCCAGGTGTGTCCTTGCACACGTGTGCCATGTACATACAAGCACACAGGTATGTCCATGCCCAAGTGTGTCGGTGTCCAGGCGTGCCCATACCCGTGTGTGTCCATTCCCAGCTATGCTCATTCCCAGCAGTGTCCATTCCCAGATGTGCCCATGTTCAGGTGTGTCCACATCCAGGTGTGCTCATGACCAGGTGTGCCCAATTCCTATATGTGTCCATTCCCAGCTGTGTCCATTCCCAGGTGTGTCCATGCCCAGGTGTGTCCCTGCACAGGTGTGTCCATACCCAGCTCTGTCCATTCCCAGATGTGTGCCCATGCCCAGGTGTGCCCACACTCCACATCTGTGTGTGCCCCCGCGGCTGCCGGAGCCCCCCCGGCAGTTCTGCCGTGGCCAGGCACACCAAGAGCAGCTCCCCGATGTCCCCACGGCTGATTCCCGGTGTCCCCACAGGAGCAGCTCCCTGGTGTCCCCATGGCTGCTCCCCGGTGTCCCCACTGCAGCTCCCCCGTGTCCCCACAGCTGATCCCCGGTGGCCCGAGCCCCACGCACCACCGCTCACCTCTCCCACCCGGGAGAGTTTCCCAGGCCGGGCCGGGCCCCAATCCCAGTGTCCCCTCTCAGTGTCCCTAATGTCCGCTCTCGGTGTCCCTAATGTCCCTAATGTCCCGTTAAACCCCAGCTCGGCCCCGCCGCCGTTCCGTGCCCGGGGCAAGGTCAGGCCAGCGGGGCGGCGATCCCGATGCCGATGCCGATCCCGATCCCGATCCCGCCGCGATAAGAGGCGGCCGGGGCAGCGGGGCCGCGCCAGCCCTGCCCTATCGCTGCCATCGGCCACCCTGCCACCGCTCCCGGCGCTCCCGTTCCGCTCCGGCGCGGGGACACCAGCGGGACATCGAGAGGGGAGGGGGACACCGAGAGGGGACACAGAGAGGAGAGGGGGTCGCTGAGCAGGGACACTGAGAGGGGACACAGAGAGGGGAGGAGGACACCAAGAGGGGACACTGAGAGGGGACACAGAGAGGGGAGGAGGACACCAAGAGGGGACACTGAGAGGGGACACAGAGAGGGGAGGAGGACACCAAGAGGGGACACTGAGAGGGGACACTGAGAGGGGGCACTGAGCAGGGATATTGAGAAGGGAGACTGAGAGGGGGACACCGAGCAGGGACATGAGCAGGGACACTGACTGGGGACACTGAGAGACAACACTGAGTGGGGACACCAAGAGGGGACACCGAGAGGGGACACAGAGGGGACACAGAGGGGACACGGAGCAGGGACACAAGCAGGGACACTGAGTGGGGACAAAGAGAGGGGACACTGAGAGGGGACACTGAGCAGTGACGTTGAGAGGGGACACTGAGCGGGGACACCGAGTGGGGACAAAGAGAGGAAACAATGAGAGGGGACACTGAGGGGGGACACCGAGAGGGGACATGAGAGGGAACACCAAGAGGAGACACTGAGAGGGAACACCAAGAGGGGACACTGAGAGGGGACACTGAGTGGGGACACCAAGCAGGGACATGAGCAGGGACACTGAGTAGGGACACCAAGAGGGGACACTGAGAGGGGACACTGAGTGGGGGCACTGAGAAGCGACACTGAGCAGGCTCTGAGGTTCCTCCTAGATGCATCATTCTGTGATTCCCGTGTCCCTTCCCGCGTCCCTTCCCATGTCCCTTCCCTTCCCTTGGGGTCCCTGCTCACCCCAAATGCAGCAGGCAGGGCTGAAGCTGCCCAGGGCAGGAGGAGCCCCATTTCACCCCAAAAAGCCCCCAGGCAAACCCGAGAGATGCAGAAAATCCCGTATTTTCCTGTTGGGATGTGCTGCCCCAGCCATATTCAAATCCCCCATTAGAATTTGCTTCATAGGGAATAAAACCCTCCCCAGGAACTGCTTATCACCCCGAGATGAACTCAAATCCAATTATCCCTCCCGTCCAGGGCCTGCTCCCGCTCCCCTGGCTGCCCCTTATCCTTCTTCAGCATCTGCTTTTGATTTTCCCTTCTTTTGATTGTTTTTGCCCAGTTTTTTATGCTCTGATTATCTCTACTCTCAGCACATCTCCGCCTCTCCGTCACTTCCCATCTTTTACCTCCATAATTGGGATTTTTTTCCATCTCCCTTCACCTTCCCTGCCCTGCTCCTATTTATTTATCTCATATTTATTCATCTCTTTGATTTCACGCTCACCTTTGCATTTGTTGCATAAGGAGGGTTTTTAATTACCCCTAAATAAATTTCTGTATTTTTTATTCCATTCTGGAATCAAAGGGAACACCGGGATCCCTTGCAACATCCTCAGCGAGCCTGGGCTGAGTGAAATTTTCCTTTAATTCTTGCTCCAACTTTAATTTTTTTTTTGCTTTAAATTTTCCTTCACATTTAATTTTTGTTTTAACATCAATTTTTGATTTGCCTTTAATTCCTGCTGTAATTTCATTTTTCCCCTCAATTTTAATTTAATTTTTTCCTTTCATTTCTCCTTCAACTTTAACCGTTCCTTCAATTTTCGAGTAATTTAATTATTTTCTTTTAGTTTCTCCATCAACTTTAACCTTTCCTTCAATTTTTGATTAACTTAATTTTTTCTTCCTCCTTCTGCTCCATGGAATCTCCCTCCCCCAGCTCACCCTGATGCTCCCCTGAAACACTGGGTGTGGATTCCCAACAAACCCAATTCCCATCCTGGGAAGAGGCTGGAAAACAACACCAATGCAATGACTTTTTTCTCTTTTTCCATATTTTTGGTCCAAAATCCCTCTCTGCATCCCAATGGAGATGGAGATCTCCATCCCAAGATCACCCCAGGAGCTGCCCAGCCTGGAGCTGCCCCTCCCTGGGGATGGGAGAAGCTCCTTGTTGGGGCTGCAGAGAAATGGGATTTTCATGGGAGACAAGGAAAGTGCTGCAGGAACAGTGGGAGCTGCATGATGGGATTGGGATTGGGGATGGGATTGGGATTGGGATTGAGACTGGGGATACCAAGCCAGACTTTGCTTGGGAAGGCTCGGATCCCATTCCCAGGGCTGAGATCCCATTCCCCAGGCTGAGATCTCATTCCCAGGGCTCAGATCCCGTTCTCAAGGCTGGAATCCCATTCCCAGGGCTGAGATCCCTTTCCCAGAGCTGGGATCCCATTCCCAGGGCTCAGATCTCATTCCCAGGGCTCAGATCCCATTCCCAAGGCTGGGATCCCATTCCCAGGGCTGAGATCCCATTCCCAAGGCTCAGATCACATTCACAGTGTTCAGATCTCATTCCCAGTGTTCAGATCCCATTCCCAGGGCTGAGATCCCATTCCCAAGGCTCAGATCATATTCCCAGGGTTCAGATCCCATTCCCAGGGCTGGGATCCCATTCCCATGGCTGGGATTCTATTTCCAAGGCTGAGGTCCCATTCCCAGGGCTTGTTGGGTGTTTGGATCCATTGTGTGGTGGAGCCAAGAGCCAGGGTGGGAGTGAGAGCAGCACCAGCCCTGCAGGGAAGGGAAGGGGTGAAGGAAGAGCCAGGGCTGGGAATGCAGCACCTCTAAGGTGGGAGAGGCTGGAAACCACCCAAAACCCCCCAGCCCTGGCTGATGGCAAAGGCAAGGTGGGAATTGTGTCCCTGTGCCCCTCCCTCAGGTGAGAGCCCACCTGCAGAGCTGCCCCAGCCCTGGGGCCAGCAGCAGGAGGACGTGGAGCTGCTGCAGAGAGCCCAGAGGAGGCCCCGGAGCTGCTGCAGGGCTGGAGCCCCTCTGCTCTGGAGCCAGGCTGGCAGAGCTGGGAATGTTCCTCTGGAGAAGGGAAGGCTCCAGGCAGAGCTCAGAGCCCCTGGCAGGGCCTGCAGGGGCTCCAGGAGAGCTGGAGAGGGACTGGGGACAAGGCCTGCAGGGACAGGAGCCAGGGAATGGCTCCCACTGGGAAAGGGCAGATTGGGCTGGGATCTTGGCAAGGAATTGCTGGCTGGGAGGGTGGGCAGGGGCTGGGCTGGAATTCCCAGATTTGCTGTGGCTGCCCCTGGATCCCTGGCAGTGCCCAAGGCCAGGCTGGACACTTGGATCCATCTGGGATCATAGAAGGTGTCCCTGCCATGGAACTGGATGAGCTTTCGGTCCCTTCCAACTCAAACCATTCCAGAGTTCCATGGCATCTCTTCCCAAGGATGCACATCCCTGCAAATATTCCCAAACCATCAAAACACCCCCAAACCCAGACACGGATCAGGACTGACAGCAACACCCAAAGCTCCCCCAGCCCCAATTCCTTGGAATAGAAGCAGCAAAACCCATTCCAATCCCTTGGGAAGAGGCAGGCAGTGCAGAATTCCCAGCTGGCAGTGCAGGGATGCCCGGG